AAATGAGGCGATTGATTTTGCGAAACGTTATAAGAAAAGTATCTTTGTGCTTAAAATTGACTATGAGAAGGCATATGATTTGATTGAATGGGACTATTTTTTACATATGTTGAGTGGCTTTGGTTTTGATGAGAGGTGGGTTAGATGGATGGATGGGTGTGTGTGTCGAGGTAGCTTGTCGGCGCTGGTAAATGGTAGTCCTACTTCAGAGGTTAGTATTGGGAGGGACTTGAAACAGGGGGACCTGCTGGCCCCATTCTTATTCTTAATTGTAGCTGAGGGACTGCGGGTGATGATGGATATGGCGCTGGAGGGGGGGTTGTTTACTGGTTTGCAGGTTGGGGTGGTGGGGCCTGTGGTGTCTCTCCTGCAATTTGCAAATGATACTTTGATTATTGGGGAAGCTTCTACACATAATCTGTGGACAATTAAGGCGTTGTTAAGAGGGTTTGAACTTATATCAGGCATGTCTATTAATTTCCATAAAAGTTGTGTGGTGGGAGTGAATACTGACAATGACTTTGTGAAACTAGCAACAAACTTTCTTCATTGTCGTAGGGGTCAACTACCTGTTAAATATTTGGGGCTGCCCCTTGGAGCGAATCCTAGATTGCGGGCTACCTGGCAGCCTGTGTTGGAGAATATGCGACGTCGGCTCTCATCTTGGAAGTACATGTATGTTTCAATTGGTGGTCGGGTCACTCTTATTAACTCGGTGCTAAATTCTATTCCTATCCACTTCCTCTCCTTCTTCAAAGTCCCTAACTCTGTGGTGAAGGATATAATCACTATTCAGAGGAATTTTTTGTGGAATGGGGTTAAGGATCTGTCTAAGATCCCTTAGGTCCGATGGGAGTTGGTTTGTTAGCCGAAGGGAGCTGGTGGGCTTGGAATTAAGGATGTGAAGGTGTTTAATTACGCTTTACTTGGCAAATGGATCTGGCGTTGCTTATCATATCCAGAAAGTCTTTGGGCGCAGGTTCTTCAGGCGCGGTATGGCCTGGCCCCGTCATTGTTGAGTGTGTGTTTGGTGAATAGGCGTGCTTCTAGTTGGTGGCGGGACCTTGTGTATACGTTACAGGTAGGAGGGCAATGGGTGGATGACAAGACATTACGGGTTGTGGGGGATGATACTTCGACGAGATTTTGGGAGGATAGGTGGTTGGGTGGCTTTAGGCTTAAGGAGGTTTTTCCCAGATTATATTCCTTTGCTCTCGATCCCTCTTCGGTTGTAGTGCAGAATGGTAATTGGTCTGGAGATAATTGGGTTTGGGACATTCCTTGGCGCCGTCTGCCCTTCTCATTTGAGTGTCCATTGGTAACGAGTTTGATGGAAATTCTGGATGAATTTGTGTTGCGGCCTCAGCTCGAGGATCACTGGTGTTGGCTGGTTAATGCTTCAGGGTTATATTCTGTTAAGTCGGCTTATGGTTGGCTGTCAACTCTTCTAGTTAATATTCCGTCTTTTGACGTTAATCTCCAAGAGGTGTTGTGCAAACTTTGGAAAGGTAAAACACCTATCAAATGCTTGGTGTTTTCTTGGCAGCTTTTCTTGAATTCTGTTCCCTGCAGGGTGCTTCTGCAGGGGCGTGGATTGCAGTTGGATTCTGCTTTGTGCCCTATGTGCGATTTATCTGTAGAAGATCTGATGCATCTTTTTGTGTTTTGTCCGGTGGCATATAATACGTGGATGGATGTTTTTTGCTGGCTTGATGTTAATTTTGTTATGCCTTCTTCTTTGGTGTCCTTTTTTCTTGTTTGGTGTGGTCAAGGGAGGAGTAAAAAGCGATCCCAGTACTTTGTTATTATTTGGGTTGCGGTCATCTAGTCCATTTGGTTGCATCGGAACTGTGTGGTCTTTAAACAAGGCGTTGTGGATCGGTTGGAGTTGCTTGACTCTATTCGTCTATATTCTTGGAAGTGGATCTCTTCGGCTGGTATGAGAATGTCTTTTAGTCTTGTAGACTGACATAATAATCCTTGGATCTGTTTTGTTTAGTGTGTTTTTATGTATTTTGAGTTTTTTTTAATGACTTTTGTCTGCTTTGTAATGTACTCTGTTTTTGGGTTCTGAGTACCCCTTGTACTCAGCTTAATTGATTTTATATCTATAACCATGTATCAAACTTACACGATTTAAAGGTTTTTGGCTCACTTTGTTTTGCCTAACAAAGGGCTACATGTTGATGTTATAACTAAAAAGACTTTTATTTATAAGAATGTTATTTTGTGTGAAAATAAGATGAAACTAGGGTAACTCAGTATTTGAATATTTTTAATTTTTTGATTGAATCATTTGTTAACCATGATGCTATTAGTGATCAAGTTTCTGATCAAAATCAACATACACAAGAGAAGATTATTCACAATATGAGAAGATATACTAGAAATAGAAGAACTCATGCCTTCCTAAAATATTATCATCATGAAATCATCAACTCCATTAAAATTAAGGAAATTGCTAAAATCAGTAAGACACTGTTGAATTCCAGCCCATCCAGTAGGGATGACAATTAAACCCGTCCCCATGGGGACCGACCCGTCCCCGCCCCGAGTTTTATGGGAAAACCCGAGTTGACCGGGGGCGGGGGCGGGTTCGGGTTTTCCCCGCTTTAAAAAGTCGGGAGCGGGGGCGGGGATGGGTAATGCAATCCCCACCCCGATCCCGGTCCCGTCCTCGCCCAGACTTTATATTTAAATATAAATTTTAAATATTAATATTTTAAAAGTATTTTCTTTTCTTTTTCTATTACATATAAGGTCAATTTTTTATATTTTACCAATTTTTATTTTTCTTCTACCTATTTTTTAATTTTTTTTGTTTTTTTTAATCTTTTATATCAATTAATTTATTATATTATTCTCTTTTATACCTTGTAGTTTTTCATATTTTCTTAATATCTCTTATCAATTTGTTTTTTTTTTCAATCTTTTCAATCAATTTGATGAACACAGTTAATTTTTTTATTCTTTATCTTTTTCTAAATATTTTACATAAATCTTAATAATAACTAATATTATTTTATTTATAATTTATATTTATTATGTTTTATTATGTCATTTGTTTATCTTATTATTCTTATTTATCATATATCAAATTTTATGTTAATAAAATAATTGTATTTTAAAGGATTAAAGGAATTGATAATTTAAACTTTTATTATTTTGAATTAATTGAATAATAATTAACTTATTAAATATTTCATTATAAACTATATATTTCATATTTTTAAATTATAACTTAAAAATGAATTAACTTATATATATATAATCAAATGTTTGAATACAAGTATTATAATAATAATGATAATGTTATAAATATTCAAATATTTGAATACAATATTATAATAATAATAATAATGTTATAAATAAAAAATGATTAAATATTTCTTTTACATATATATTTTAATATAAATATAATAAATTAAAATGTATATTTAATTAATAATTATTATAAATTATAAAATTATAAAAAAAATAGATAGTAAAATTAATTTATTATAAATGTAATTATCTTTTTAAAAATAATATAGATCGAGGACTGGGCGGAGACTGGGAACCCGAAACCCAACGGGACGGGGATGTGGACTTAATTTCTAATCCCGTGGGATCGAGGACGGGGACGGGGATGATTAAAAAGTCGGATGCGGGGATCGGAGAGGCAAAACCCGCTCCGCCCCATTGCCACGCCTAATCCAGCTCCCACAACAGACAACAATTGGAAGAGGGAGAGTTTTTTTGTTTAAATACCCTTCTTCTCCTCCCAAATCAATCATCCCAAAATTCTCAAAACACAAAATTCTCAAAACACATGTTTACTCTTATATAAGAGTGAGTGTTTGTTGTGTGTAAAATTTTGTATTACCACAATTTTGTGGAAGGGGATAATAAAATATTTGGGAGTTAGTTATGTGGGTGTAACACTTGTGAGAGGGTGAAGCACATAAAATATTTGTGTTGATTATTTATTTTATTATTTTATTTATGTCTGGCACTATTTATTTGCTACTTAATTTTTATTACCGCCTACATAGTCATAATAGAAAAGGTTATTTTGGGGATTATAATTTATTCTATTATTAACCCCTTCTTTCCTAACAAGTGATATCACAACTTCCCATTATTTTTGTTGCTGTATGAGGCAGATAGAATAGTAGCAAAGGGTGAAGAAAAGAGGAGAGAAGAAGAGGCAGTGGAATTGTGCAGCACAACGGATTTAGAGAAAGAAAAAGCTATCGGCAACGATTCCACCGTTGGATCGGGACATTGTTTCTACAGGACTTGTTGCTCTTCATTTTGCACTTTCAGAACGTTGATTGGAGGTTTGTAAAGTCAGTGAGGAGTCCTGGATCGTGAACCCAGTTTTGGGTTGTGGATTTGCTGCAGAACATTAAAACTGTACAACCGAAGTAAAACAGTCACCGCCGAATATTCCACCGTTGGATCGAGAATAATTTTTTTTAACCAGACGTTCAAAACTCATAGCTCTTCATTCTGAACCGTCTGATTGTCGACTGGTGGTCTGTAACCTCAGAAGAGCCCCAAAACGTGGAGATCGTAAAACAAAGGTGCTGCAGATTTTTCACCAGCACAGGCAGAAAGAAACGATCGCCGGAAATAAGGTCACCGGTGGATCGGACTGAATCTTTGATAGAAATCTCAAGATACATAGATCTTCATTCTGCACCGTCAGATCGTCGATTAGAAGTTGACAACTTTGGTTAGAAGGGTACTGTTGTGGACGCGTTTTTACTGGAGCAAGTCAGAACCAGTAGCAGACAAATCATGGAGAACAGTGCAGGCACCATGGTGAAATTGACGACAACAAATTATTCACCGTGGAAGTCAATGATGGAGGATTGCCTCAATTTATTAGATCTATATGATCCAATTGAAGGCGATGGATCTAAGCCCCAAAAGATGTCCGATGGTGATTGGAAGAAATTAAAGAAATAGACTTTGAGCACCATCCGTCAATGGGTGGTTATTACTCACTGTAATCAAGTATCCAAAGAAACAAATCCCCAAACTCTTTGGAAGAAACTAGAGAGTATGTACGAGACAAAGAATGCACAATAAAAAATATTCATGAAGCGGAAACTCATGAATTTGAAACTGAAAGAGGGACGATCCGTAGCGGAGCACCCGAATGACTTTGAAGGCCTGGTCACGCAATTAATTTCAGCAAGCCTAACTCTTGAAGATGAGATGCAAGCATGCCTACTCTTGGGCTCATTACCAGACAACTCGGATACTTTAGTAGTATCTTTAAGTAATTTTGCACCAGAAGGCAAAGTATGATTGAGTAGGGTAAGAAATAGCATATTCAATGAGGAGATCCAAAGAAGAAATAAGATTCAAAGTTAAGTATTCCTTAAATTGTTATGAAACGAATTAACTTATATTAATTTTAATATATTTTTTTCCTAATATAGGATGAATTCGAGAATATCTTGATACAAGAGTAAAAACATAATTGTCAGCATAATTGGAATAAAATTGGAAGAAGGAAAAAGATTTTCAGCATGAAAGTTGCTCAAGTGGGATGGACTATCGTTTGAGCGAATATCAGTTATTCTTAATTGGAAGTCAATCGTTCAAGCGCAAGAAAATTCGCTTGAGTGAATGTTAGTTATTCTTCTCTGGAGTTCACTCACTCAAGCGAGCGTTTTGTCGCTTGAGCAAAAATAGGTAAATTTCGCTTGAGCGAAAATTGTCGTTTGAGCGAAAGACGCGAAGCCCAAAAGCTCAATTTTTCCTATAAAAGGAGAAGATGTGTTTTGAGAAAAGAAAGCAGTTTTTGGGAGAAAAGGCGCAACTACTGCTAGGGTTTCGTCCAATCTTCATCAATTATTCACTTCTTCCACATTTGGAGCATTGTAATGACCAACATGAGTGACTAAGTTCATTCTCTTGGGATTGAGTGCACTTCCTTTGAACTCTTTTGTATCATGGTGATATTTTGAGATATTAATCTATGTTTTGATGTTGTTAATCTTATCCTTTTTGCTTTAGAATGATTTATTCTTGATGTTTAGGGTACGATTGGAAAATATATCTTGAACCCTAGATCACGGTAAGAATATTTGTTACGTTAATTGTCAGGAATGGAATGAATGGATCAATTGCTTAACATCCTAAACCTAATGCTGGAAAATCTCTTAATTGTGTGAGGAATCAACATTTATTAGGTTTTCTTATGAATTTCATGTATGAGAAATCAACATGAATGATTTGAGTAGGTGACATCAAAATTGTTAGGTTAATTGACGTTCTTAATTGACATTGCCATTACAAAAGAGGGATAAGGAAGGAAACCAATCCTAAGTGCCTTTAATTGATATTTGAAAGTGATGAAGATCTTATTTGAATCATTTGATAAAACGAAGATTTTGTTGATTTGATGAAGTCAAATGAAGTCAAAGGCTATTATAGTGAAGTCAAAGGTTACTTGGTTAAAAGGGTAGAAGTGATTAGTGAGTCTGCATTTTTACATAGGTTTAATCATTCATATTTCTCTGTTGCATGAGGTTTCATCATTTAAAAGATTTTGAAAATGCCTATAAATATGTTTAATCTGTTAAAAACCAAAGTAATCGGTTAAATGGTTTTTAAGAAATTGTTTTAACTGATATTATATGAGCTTTATCAGTTAAAATGTTCTTAACACTTACATAACAGGTTTTTAACTGATAGGTTTTCAAAATAATCGATTAAAACCTTTTAAAACATTCACTCGAACTGTTTTAATTGATATATCTTCGAATTAATCGATTGTTTTCATTAAAGAAATTTTTGAAAACCTTCTGTAAGTGTTTTAACTGATATAGTTTCGAAACAATCATTTAAAAGCACTTAAAATGTTCTGGGAAGTGTTCTGACAGTATTTTAATCGATATAACTTCGAAATAATCGATTAAAATCACTTGAAGTATTTTTAATCAATGTAATCCAGCATATGATCGATCAGAATGAGTTTTTGATTGATCAGAATCATTTTAATCGATTAAACTACGATTTAATCGATTAAAACAACTTAAGATAATTTCTGCTAACTGCTTTAATCGATTAAAACTGGTTGTTATCGATTAAAATCACTTAGAAAATTTTATGAAAATATTTGGCAGAATTTTAATCGATTAAAATGTGAATTAATCGATTAAAACAACTTAAGGGATTTTTTACAAAGTGTTTTAATCGATTGAAACGTTGTCGTATCAGTTAAAACAAATCTGGAAAATTATCAAGAACATTTTAACAGATTAAAAGAAGTTTTAATAGATTAATTCAAGATTTTTAACAGATTAAAAGATTGTTTTAACAGATTAATTAAACCAGCAGTTAGAACAAATCTCTATATAAATAGGATTGCTTCAGTATTTTAAAATATAATTTTATGCAATCAATCAAACAATCATAAGAGCTACTTTCAAGAAAGTATCACACAAGTTTTGTGAAGTTTTTCAAAGTTCTTTCTTGAGAAAATTTTTGCATTTCTTTTGTGAAGAAACTCATTCTGCAGAGCTGCATAATCTGGGTTTGAGTGTTCTAGTTTCTTCTCTTTGTTCCTTTACATTTCCTTACCTGTATGTTGGGTGTCCGGAATTGTTGGGCACTCGGTTCGTAGCGAGGAATTTGGTCGCAAGTTGGTTCAATAACCGAAAATTGGTTCTTGGTGAAGGTTTAGGTACAAAGACTAAAATTTTGGTTCTTGTGGTAGGTTGGGTGTGTGATTGGAATCTGTAATCTGTAGGGATGACAAAACGGGTCAGCCCGCTCAGTTTTGGTCCGCCTCGCCTTTGGCCCGCCAAAGCGGGCGGGCGCCGACTCGTTATAGTCATGACGGGTTGTAGACCTTGACCCGCCATAATTTAGAAAAAAATAATTTATTTTTTAAAATAAATTTTTTTAATAAGATTATTATTTGTTTGTCAATAATTCAATATATATATATATATATATATATATATATTATTTCAATTTAATAATATAAATCAATACATTATTTTAAGAAATTATAATTTAGAACAATAATAAAATTTACATAATAATAAATAATAACAAATATATATATATATATATAAATAACGTTAAAACTTATAAAATTTATATTTTTTATATTGAAAAATTCAAATACCTATATCTTTTTTATTTGATAAGACTTCACATTATTCTTGGTTGAGTAATTCTTACACCTTTAATTCAAGTCATAAGGATAAAAATAATCGATGCTTAGGATGAATAAGGAGAACATGAGAGAGAATGTTATATTCCAAGTAAGGAGTAAGGAGAATATTTTATGTGAGAGTGAAACTTTTTTAATTCTTTTTTAAAAAATTTCAACTTTATATATTCTCTTTATAATTAATTTTATTATAATAAAAAATTATTTTTTTTATTAATTAGGCGGGCCGTGGGCTGGTCCGCCCGTCTCGCGGGTTGGTGGGCTTGGCGGGACGGACCAAAGCGGGCCGGTGGGCTGAAAACACCAACCCGCCCCGCCATAATATGCCGGGCTGGCGGGTCGGCCCGTCGGGCCTAGCCTGTTTTGTCATCCCTAGTAATTTGTAAATAATTCAATCTAGTGGAACTCAGTTGGAATTTGGCTGAGAACTGGACGTAGCCCTGAGATTGGGTGAACTAATATAAATCTTGGTTGTATTTTTCTAAACCTTACTCTCTTTAATTTTGCTGCTATCTTTATTTCAATTGCTTGTTTTTGCTTGATTCAAGAATTGGTTAGAACTCTTAATCTTTGAAATAGATAATCTCTAAATTGCAAAAATCTTTCAAAGATCAATTCACCCCCCCTCTTGATCTCAGCCTCATTTTCTAGCAATTGGTATCAAGAGCAAGGGTCTTGAAAAATACTCAAGACTTTCGGTCCAAATCTTTCATGGCTGAAAACAAATTACCTTTTTTCTGAGGGAGCTTCTATTAATAGACCTCCACTGTTTTGTGGTACAGATTATCCATTTTGGAAGATTAGGATGAAAATCTTTATTGAATCTATTGATAGAAATTTTTGGGATGTAATTGTTAATGGTCCATTAATTACAGAAAAAGAATGGTCTAGCTTAAATGATGAAGAGAAAAGAAAAGTTCAAAGTGAATGTACTGCTAAAAACATAATTACTTCTGCACTAAACATGGATGAGTTTTTCAGGGTTTCTCAATGCAAATCTGCCAAGGAAATGTGGGAAGTTCTTGAGGTTACTCATGAGGGAACGACTGATGTAAAGAGAGCTAGAAAGCATACTCTCATAATAGAATATGAGTTGTTTAAAATGCAAATCGGAGAAAGTATTGCAGATATGCAGAAATGCTTCACTCATATCATCAATCATCTAATGGGCTTAGGTAAAACTTTTGATAAAGAGGAGTTAAATATAAAAGTTTTGAAATGTCTTGACAGGTCATGACAGCCTAAGGTCACAGCAATTTCAGAGTCAAAAGACTTATCCATCATAACAACAACCTCCTTATTTGGCAAACTCAGAGAACATGAGATGGAAATTAACATATTCAATGAGCAAGAAATCTCTGAAAAGAAAGGTAGAATCATGTCACTCAAAGCTGAAGAAAAAGATCAAGAATCAGAAGAAGAAAGTGAAAATCTTGGACTACTAGTCAAAAAGTTTAACAAGTTTCTCAAGAGAAAGATCCAAGATAAAAAAAACACAAAAGGTATGAAATGAAATCTGATTCTTTTAACTATAACTGCTATGGTTGTGGTAAACAGGGTCATGTAAGATTGGAGTGTCCAGAAAAGAATAAACACAATGACAAGAAAGAAGAAAAGATCAAAAGAAAAGCATATATAGCATGGGATAACAATGATACCTCATCAATAGAAAATTCTGATGATGAAGAAGCTAACTTGTGTCTAATGGCTAACTAGAACTATCAAACCAACAGTGTAAGTTCTAACTCTTTTTCTAATTTTGTGAATTATAACTCATTGCAAGAAGCATTAAATGAAATGCATAAGAAACCAAGAAACTTAAAAGAGAAAATGATAGGCTAAAAGGCATGAACAATTGGCTAGAAATATAGAGTTGATTCTCTTGAAAAGAAAATTCTTGAAGATGAAACTGATCTTGATTTCTTAAAATTAAATCATGATAATTTTGATTGCTTATGTAATAAACCATGCAATAATTGTCCATACTTACAAAAGAAGATTGATTTTTTTGTTACAAACTGTTTCTAAATTTACACAAGGTCAAGCTAATCTTGATGTTCTTCTTGGGTCACAAAAGCTTAATTTTGACAAATCTGGCATTGGATTTACATCTAGCAAGAAAACCAAAAAAACTGTTGG